CAAAGGCTTTAGATAAATCCAAAAACAAAAAGAGACAACACTGCTTGTCATCAAGGGCTTTTAAGATGTAATTTACGACCTTCATCGCAACAGTACTACGATTTTTATGGAAACCTGACTGATATGATGAAAGGACAGAATTATTATATAAATATTCTTTCACTTGTGCACTGACCAAAGATCGAAGCACTTTTGCAACAACAGAGAGATAGGCCTATAATTATTTAAAATATTTGGGTCACCCCCTTTCAGGTGGGGGATAACAAAGCCTGATTTCCAATCCTTGGGAATTTTGTTTGATGACAATGTTAGTTTAAAAATATAACATAGTGGTTCGCCTATGATTTCAGATGCCAATTTTAAAAAGACAGGCTCTAAGTTATCTGGTCCAGGTGACTTTTTAGGATTTAGTTCTTCTAGAGGCCTTATCACCTCTGCTGAGGTAAAAGGACTAAAATTAAAGACCTGCGTATTTTCACAGATACAGTTTGAAATTGGTGATTCTGCAGTTAAGTTATCAGACTGAAACAAATAACCAGAGGAAATAAAATGTCTATTAAAGTAATTTAACGTTGCTGTCTTGTCAGTTACTCTGGCATCATAAACAAATATACTAGGCGGAAGATTAATTGCAGTATTGCTAGTGGACAATGATTTGATGGTTTTCCGAAATTTCTTTGGGTTATTGAGACTTTCCAAAGTCGTGGACAAGTAAAATTCAGCTTTAGCTTTTCTAAGCAAAAGGGTAACTTTATTTCTAAGTTGTCTAAAGCTAAGCCAATCAGTCTCTAATATAGACTTACGTGCCCTGGCCCAAGCGGCATTACGTTCATACAGTAGATCTGCCAGGTCTGTTGTAAACCATCGATTCTCACACCCTTTAATTCTAAATTTATGAAAAGGGGCATGTTTATTTACAAAACAACTAAAGTTTATGAAGATAATTCCAAGCCAGATTAACTTTATCAAAAAGAACAATTTTATCCCAATTAAAATGATATAAATCATGCAAAAAGGTTTGTTCGTTAAATAACCTCATATCGCATTTTACAACAAATCACGGCTTACTTTAGGGATCCTTGTGTCTCTCACTGCTGCTATCACACAATGATCACTCACGTTGTTGGGGAAAACACCTGAAGTCACATATTTAAAATCAAGTCAATGAGTGTAGATTTTTGTAAACATTTGACATTGGGTCTTGTGTGTGATTGAATTATTTGAGTAAGATTTACTCAAATCTAGGCAGGGCCGAAATCTGGGGGCTAGCAGGCAGGACCGATATCTTGCTATCTAGGTGGACACCCAGATACTTATAATCCTGTCCAAATTGAAGGGACAGGGATACAACTGGAGACAGTGATCTTCTCAGGTCCTCTATCAGTTCCTTCCTGTCACCAATGATATGTTGATGATGATTCCGTCCACACCAGTTGACAAAGTTGTCCAGCACCCTCCTGTACTTCATCATGATTACATCCCTGATACAACCAACTACTGCAGAGTCATCTGAGAATTTCTGCAGATGGCAAGACAGGATGTACAGGATGAAGAGAAAGGGAGACGAGACTGTCCCCTACAGAGCTCCTGTGAGGCTCAGCACCTTCTCAGGCACAGCATCCTGAAGATGGAAGTACTGTGGACGTCTGACCATGTCGTCCATGATCCGTGCCACCAGGAGAGCTTCCACCTTCTTGGCTGACAGTGCACCTCCCAAGCAGGACTGACTGGAAGGTACTGAAGGCACTTGAGAAATCGAAAAACATGATACTCGCAGTACCTCCTGGCTTGTCTATGTAGATGTAGGCATGGTGCACCATGGCAATCTGGGCTTGGAGTATCTTCATTGAAGTAGAGATTAAACTCATTGGCTCTATCTGCGTTGCTCTTTGTCTCCTGGCTACAGGTCTTGTGGCCAGTGATAATCTTCATGGCTCTCCACTCCACTCTGGTATTGTTCTACTGAAACTTCTGCTCCACTTTCCTCCTGTGTGTCTTTCCCCTCACTACAGCTCTCTCTACACCCTCTTCGCTTCTTCTTTGTCACCCAACCTGAACACATTCTCATTTTTATTCAGGAGGATGTCTTTGGTACCTTATTGTTGGGGAAGAAGCGTACATACTTTACAAAGATGAGTAGATGAGTATTGGATGAGCGGATATGGAAAATGGATGGATGGAGTTCATCAGAGCAATATTGTGTAGTTTGATGGGTTAAGATGTTGTGCCTGTGATTGGGAGATTTCTGGTTCAAACGGTTCAAAGTTCAAAACTTAAACTGCCACAGGGAATGTTTGACCCAACTTTCTTAAAAAATATAAGTCGCTTTAGATAAAAGTGTATGTGTCGCGTCGGGGCAGGCAAGAAGGCAAGGGAAGCCATAAATGCAAGCAAAACATGATTTATTGACAATATACAGACTTAGAACAAGGAGCAAGACAATGTCAATGACAGACCAGGGGAAACAGACTTGAACGCAGACTGAAATACACAAGACAAGCCGAACTATCAGGAAACAGCTGGTCACAATCAGGGTTTCACATGAGGTAAATGAGGGGGCGTGGCACACAGGAGGATTGTACGAGCAGGTCATGACAGTATGCAAAACAGATGTTTGCATTTTAAATGATGCAGTACTTCTGGGAAGACACATTGAATTACATTTGATTTTGTACAGCACCTTTTGCAACAGAGTTGCCACAAGGCACTTGACAAGAGTGTGTAGCAACCAGTTGTTATACCATTTATATGAAATGCTGCATGAAACAGCAGAGAGAAAGAATGAATGGCAGAAGACAACAGTGGAGAGGAACCAAAAACTACCAAGTAGGGCTCATGTCATAAGGCACAAGGAAAATTAAAGGGGCTATATCAAATAAAACAAATTAAAGCAGGGAAACAAACTGGGACCACAAGGTGTCAAAAATGGCAACAGGGTCAGTGTCCATCTGATCCTGCCCTTTGTGTCCCTTCCCCATCTTAGCCAGCAGGTTGCGCTGACCATCCAGCCTTTTCACCCCTTTTCTGAATATCCTTGTGTTGCCGCATAGCTTAGTGGGTTCAGTGTACAGCACAGTAGCTATAACCCTACAGTCATGCGTTTGAAGCTAACCTTACCTGGTCTGTTTGTTTATTGGTTTTCTGTTTTTCCTAGTGCTTATTAGTTCTTTGCTGTCCTGTTTTAGTTTATCCTACTTGTGTCTGGTTTAATTCTCTTCTGCTTGTATTTGTGTTCCTATTCCTTCCTAGTGTTAATCCTCAGTGTTTGGCAATGCTCCCTAGTTCCTGTGTTTGTAACTTATTCCACCTGTTGTCCTGTGTCTTAATCGATTAATTGATTTGGTAGTCGTTGCACATGCCACACCTGCCCTCCCGTTAGTCGGTTACCTGATTGTATTTAAGTGCCTGCGTCTGCTCTGTTCTTGAATTTGTCCTTGTGCTATGTTCCTGTGTGTTGGTTGTTCTGTTCCCTTGCCTGCTCTTGCTCCTGCTCCTGCTCTTGGTGTTGCCTTGTTCCCTGACATTATTTCCTTGTGGTTTCTTGTAGTTAGTCTTGGTTACTTCTGTTTCCCAGGGTGTGTTATCAGTATTGTCTATTTTTCCCTGTTTGTTTTGACCCCTTGTGGTCCTTTTAATTTTGTAGTTTTCCCCAGAGTATTCAGTATTCAGAGTATTCTTTAATAAGCCCCTTAGTGTTTTGGAGTCGCCAGTGGATCGTCACCTTTTCCCCACCTGCACCATGCCCTGTGTCTTTGACAGATAGATTTTAATGACTGCGACTGACTAGACAAACAAGCACTTTTATACAAAGACTTTTGAAGGTGCAATAAGCAACAGGTGTCACTCATTAGGGCCAAGTCGGGAGGGAGTGTCAGGTGGATATGACGGGCATGACGTGACAGTAGGGAGAAAAAAAAACCTCTGGGGGTCTAAGGTCAACTGGCAGCCCACCCCCCTCCCCCCAGGGCATGGTAACATTATAGAACACACAAAAAACCCAGCAAACTATGAGCAGAGGCATTGGGAGAGGACAGGCAAGGCAGTCAAATGCCTGAGGCCCCGAGCCGGGCTGATTACATAATACCTTGCAACAACAGACTCATCTGCTTTTTGTGTATTATGTTTTTCAATGTACCATATCCAAACACCCGGAACTCTGGACTCTGCCCTGTGCATTAATAGCCTAGATGCCAAATTATTCTAGAAATGTCCTTCATTCTGTGCTAAAAGAGTCCTTATCTTAGTCGTTGTCTAATATAATTATGTTCCCAGAGTTAGAAGTACAATTTTTTTCCTTTCTCAAAAAAATGTATTTAATAATTAAGGTGTTCTTGAACTAAAACGATTTTTTTTCTAAAAACTATGAGCACAGTGGCGACAGTTACGAAGATATGTTGTGCCCGTTTATAAAAAACAATGAATATCCAAAGAAACGTAAGAAATTTTGTAGTTTCCGTGATCTAGTAAATAGTCAGTTAGTAGAGGGTTAATGAGTTTATACCAACTCTGCCAGAAATGTCATATTTAGATTGAACTTTCCCCCAGTGAGTAGAGTACTGTTTACTGTGGAAGTGGCAGAGTTGGATTTCACGACTGTGTGTGCTTCTAAATTTGGCAGTGTCTCACCTTGCGGTGTTATGTGTTGTTAAACGTACTTTCATTTCAAATATTATCAATTTCACTTTTAGACACTTTTTCAAAAATATCCAACAGAATTATTTATATTCTTTCTAACCATGGTATATACTTAGAAAACCATTAACCGTAAATATCCATACCAAATATCGGCAAATGGGCACAACGCATGTTACGAGGGGAATTGATCAATAACAGTGAAATGAACCATTTTCCCTTAAACTGTACTCATGCCTAAATATAGCATCGAAAGAAAACAACCAAAGAGCTGAACGTGTCATCGTGCACGTCCTTCACTAATTGCCCCTTTAATGGCAGTATTAATCAGACACATCTTCCGCTCCCTGCACCAGACCTGACAGGAAAAAGTGCGAGTACTTCCTTAAAGTTACTTTGAAAGTTAAGCAGGCGCCCAGCCGTTTCTGCTGCGCTGGTAAATCTGAGCTCCTGGGCTGCAAACTGCACGCACCGGTAAGCTTAGCTGGCAACCTGCCGGGAAAATATCTGAAGGAGAAATGTGACGGGCACGCTTGTCATTCTGCAACGTTTTACTATTTTAGACCGGACTTTATAAATATTACGAGCATGATCCGAACGGGACTCCCTGCCGGACCCTGATCGATCCAAGATCCAAGGAACTTCCCAGGTGCGTCTCCTTGCAAAGTCTGCGTCCTGTTGCATGCAGGTTTGTGACAGGTTCAGTTAGCTAAGTAACACTGTATCATTACGAAAAGGTAAATGTACAATGGAACACACTTTTGCTGTCGTACCGCTTGGATGAGGTTTTACTTTATCAACTTTTGTTATACGATTGTTGTTGCTCTTAAGGCATCAATATATGACGATGTGTCGACTTCAGGATTTATAGTCTGACGATAAAAGAACTTACAGTTATATCTGCTAAAACTTTTTTCTTGGTTCTAAAGACTCGAGCCCTCGAATATTCACACACACACACACACACGTATGTATAATGTTTGTTGTAAATTATACGTGAAATGAAGTAAGGACAAAAGCTAGCTCTCGACATATTCCAGCATTAAAACCAAAAAATAAGCAAAATGAATAAATACTTCAGTGTCAATTTTTATTAGAAGTACTGAGATATGTGTTTTTGTGTATGCATATTTATGTGCACGTTTTTGTGCATATTTTTTGCTTCGTTTTGTCTCCTGTTGCAGTTTGTTACGCAAAAGCAGATTTCCCTGCCAACGGCTCCCCCGAGATGAATGAACATGAGCAGTGCTTGGATGTCGAACTCTCCTGGGATCCTTCTCTGCCTCCGTCGCCAGGCTCCTGGCTGAAGCGATGCTTGCTGTATTTCCGTACCTGCAGAGCCCCGGCGGGGCACCAGCAGAGCAGGGCTGTCACGGGGTGCGGCCAGCGCCTCTTGCTGATCATCAGCGTCCTGCTGTTTGTGTGTGTTGGTGTGCTGCTGCTGCTCTGGAACTATCAGTGCATCTTCGTCTGGGGCCTCTGTCGGGAGGAACAGCCTGCCGTCCCCGGGTTTGGGGGGCTCGAGGGCTTTGACAGAGAGGAGATCAACTGAGGCGAAGAGTACTGTCAGGGAGCGGGGGACTTGGGGGGGGAGAGATGGGGAGGTCTCCGTCTCAAGGTCATACCAAAGGGGCTGCGTGGACTGCATTCACTATGCAGGCACAGGCCGGACTGCACGCCTGCGCAGGTGCAGAGGAGATTGCGAGAGCAGTCTTGAGCCCAGGGAGGAGGGCTTCCTGCAAGCCACTACATTCTCATTGCAAAGCTGTGGGGAAACAATATGTAATGATCTGGCCTTTGATTGTATCCTGATAGATTATTGGTAACAAGTGCTCCTTTCTGCTCAGGATTTCCTTTATTGTGCCTGATAGATATGGTTTCAACATCGGTAGGGACCAAATTAGCCCCAAAAACTCCCTGCCCCCCTAAACACACAGGGTACTCTCCCGATATTGGTAGGGACACCTCTTTACTATCCAAACCCAAATCTGTGCCCTTGGCTTGATGCAATATATGACTTTGACTTTTGTAGGATCTTGTAATGCTGTCTCATAGCTCAGAAATCATAGCTGCGAGTTATAAGAACTGACATCTGATTCCTCTTCATGTTATTTGTATGATTCTTCAGAGATTCAGGATGTATTTTAATGGGCATTTTTCTGTAATTTATGGTGCTTGCTGTAGTAGAATCAGATGCAATTATTCTGTTGATTCCAGAATGAATTTAGGCACAACATCTATTCATTTTATAAGAAAGATAATATATAACCCAGTGTTCATGCTTATTGTAGTTGAATATTGTATGTACAAACTCAAGAAAGTAATAACTGTAAAATGATATTGTTTTTTTCTTCAAGCTGTACGTGTGTGTATAAATATAAACCCTATAACCCTTATTTACTGCTGTAAAATCATTGTAATACCATGATGTGGTGAAAAATGTTAACCAGAAAAAAATCCAAATAAAGTCAGCTCATAGCGTAGACTGAAGATGACTCACATTTCCTCATTTTCTCTGATCTTATTACACTGAAACAAAAGACCCGTGTAACTAAAAACAAATAAAAAACACCAAACTTAGTGAAGTCGGCACTGCACATTCCAGTAATGCCTCTGCCATTCCAGTGTCTCTGCCATTCCAGTGTCTCTGCCATTCCAGTGCCTCTGCCATTCCAGTGTCTCTGCCCCTCTTCTCTTGCTTGCATATCTGTGTGAAACCTGTAAGAAAACGGCCATCTCTGCCTAGAGCTGCCAATCATGGTGTCAGAGTTCAGAACAGCAAGTGGCTGACAAAGAGACTGTGCTGTGAAATGGTACGATGTGAGCTTGGATATAGATGGTAGGGCTGGTCCCAGAACAGCTTTATACAAACACCGAAGTCAATGCCAAGACCCATCCGCTGAGTTACCTGCCACTTTCATCCTGCATCCCCCAGAAATATGCAACTCTGGAGCTACTTGAGGTTTGAGGTTCCTGGAAAGTTCATTAAAATTTCTAAAGAAAAAAAAAAATACTACAAAAAGGTGCTGAGTCACCTTCCTAATGTACTTCTTCCGCAGTGCCATTTCTTCCATGGGTGTTATGAATCTCTGAGTGCGTGCTAATGAGTTATGGCTCACTGAAGCACATGTTCTACTGTTGGTCCCAAGGAGACTGAGAACATCAACATCAACCTTCAGCTTATAGGACATCCTTTGCTACCTATTCTAATGGTCTGACTTTGTGTCATTTACTGGAGTAGTGCCACAACCCACTAATCCATGTGAGGAGATCCAGGTTCCTTTGACATGTAACCTTTAAGAAAGGGCTCTTTTAATATCTGGTGTAGGGATAAGGTCTTTCCAAGTGTTCCCTGGTCAGCTTCTTCTCCTTTCTAACCAAAACACAGTGCTGGAAGTGCCTGACCAGCACAGAGATTTAGATTGAAACTTCAAGGATTCAAAGGTTTTATTTGTCACATGCAAGGCAATAAAGACATAAATAGTAACAATATAATAAATATATAATAAATACGGAACCAAGAGCGCCATCAAATGGTGACCAGGGGTAGCCACGGCCGCCATTCTGGCCACTCCCTCAGGTGGCTGCAGAGATTTTATTTCAGAAGCGGAACCATATAAAGCTGCAGTGCAGCGCCGGACCCGCCGTGTAGGACCCGTCCTCAGTTTGCAGCGCAGTGCTACTGAAGGAACTGATTTGTGAAACGTTCTGTTGGTTGAATTTGAATGTGGTTTATCTTGCGTTTTAAATGAATTACTGATATTTAATATTCGTTAACAATGTTCCACTTAAAACAAACTGGAACATTACATTGCTAGTTAAATAATCTTGTTATTAGAGACGCACCGGTCGACCGGCCGATTTGTTTTACGGACTTGTATATTCATGCACACAAGCTGCATTGGAATCATCTCCCAAAATGTAATTTGTATGGAAGTATTACGAAGGCTGTGAACATGACATTAAGATTGAAATCGCGGAGGAACCACAGCGAATACGTTCGGCACCACAAATCTGATCCGGCATTTGAAAGCTGAAAAAGTACTTACATGGTTTAACGAAAAGCTGTACATGAAGTAATGACCCGTGCCAGCTAAAGGAAATATAGTTCTGTGTAGGACTGTATAGTCTCTCTGTCAGCCACTTGCCGTTCTGAACTCCATGACTGGAAGCGAACGAGAAGAGGGGAAGAGAACAAGGAAAAAAACGGAGGCAAATTATTTGTATGTGAAAACATATTTGGCCAATAAAGCTGATTCTTTTATTCTTTCATTCATCCCTCCATACAAATCCACTGATTTTATTCCTCGTGATTTTAAAGTTAGAATAATCATACTTTGTATACGACTCAACAGCTGATTAAAAGCACCAAGCATGCAGCTGCTGAAGTGAAGCTGTAACAGTTGCCATTCCTTTATTCTTTCTTTCTATTTTTCGTGCCCTTTCTAGTTTGTTGCACATCTTTGGTCATTTTTCCAGAATAACTTTCTGTTCCTTAGAAGAGCACCAGCAGACATCAGTAGGGGGGAGGCCAAACTACCGCAGATGTTTAAACAGAGGAAAGTTGTTTGAATACTTTTTGAGCTGCACACTGGATTTCTGAAGCAGGTTTAGAGATTTTATGTTGAAGGTTGATTGAATGGGAGCAGTTTGAAGAATTTGATGGAAAAAGGGACAAAAAAGGGGGATGCAGGTGGAATATGAAGAAGAGAAATAGAAGCATAGTTCTTAATGGGTGGAACACGAGTGGTGGAACAGTTTCTAGGTGAAAAACTGGGAGGAGACAGGGCTTGAAAATCATGGGATAAACCTTAAGAAGACCAATATGCGATTCCTCGCTCAATCACATTATAAAGTACAAATGCAGTGTGTTGTGCATGAGTAAGGAGGGAGTACTAAGCTGTAACTGCTGATTCAGTATTCTGATGGCTTGAGGGTAGACGGTCCTTCTCAGCATCTCAGTTCTCACTGAAACACAGCAGAAGCGCTCGTCAGGCCTCAGCCTGGTGAGGAGGTGGTTGTTAGGGTGGATTTTGGCAGCTTTGGATCTGGATCATCTGAGATCAATGTCCTGCAGGGAGGGCAGATCAGCGTTAAACATCTGCTGGATTCTAATGAAGACCTGCTGCTATCTAAGGTCACCATCTTGGAGAGTGATTCCCAGCAGCTTGATCTTATATTATTATACTCTAAAAATCTACAGAAAAGTACTTCAGTGGTTTTTGGGCCTGAAGGGCCTGCAGCTGGGTACTGATTGAAGTGTGTTGTAAAAGTGTTGCCACAAGAGGGAGACAAAAACTGCAATTTTCCACGAACTCCAACGTTTCAGACACTGGGCTCCTTTGCTGGAGGGGTCAAGCTGAGCAGTCCAGGATTTATACTAGTAGAATGTTGGGTACATTGGACCCATTTTGTGGTACAAATGGAGTGCATGTATTACTGCAGCTTATTAATGGTAGTAGATGAGAACACATTAAACTTGTCATTGACTCAGGATCCCAAAGGCTTCTAAGTTATTTTTATTTTAAGCAGGGAAATTTCTGGTGAAACTCAAAGCTGTGTCCTCTATCTGTTGTTCTCTCCAAGTCACCATAGTTACCTAAATAACTCACTTGACAGCTCTTATTGTGTTAATAAAATTCACCCAAGATGCCTATTCTGCTATAGACACACACAGTATAACAAAGTGTAACATCAACAAGAAAGCACCAGGTTATGCAATACATCAGGCGGATTAGGAGACGTTTAGGAGATGAAAGCATTAACTAAGCTGGGTGTTGCAAATAAGGTCACCTTGAGAGACAAATGTGACTAAATGTAGTTGTGTGTGTGTGAGTGTGTGTGTGATGGAGCTTTTACATTCTGTTTTTCCACAGACCTGCAGAAGGATGTTCGAGCAGCGGCATATTTTCCAAAGTTGATCTTTTAAATGTGCAGGTGCATCTCTTGCAAGGGGTGTCATGGTGTTTGTGCGTGAGCTTCCAGTGTGCAAGGCCAAGAGTGATCTATGCAGCAAACATTAACCCCCCCCCCCTAGGGTTTGCTGGTTCATTATCTGAACATTACAAAACATTCAAATGTTCACCACTCTTTTGCATAAATGACACAAAACCATCAGTGAGGGCATGGAATGCAAAATCGACTGATATGCAAAAAAAGTGACAGAATTACTGTCTCATTTTTCCATTTTCATTTCCAAGGCAGGTTCAATATGCAAGTTCAAGAACATTTCACCAAACAAGTTTTTACCTGGAGGTAAAGAAATCAACTTGCCATTCTAGCACGACTCAGGTAATATTTCTTGCGAGTGGGTGTGTCTCTATGCATGCCACGGCATTCAGTGTCGACATGTGCAGAGCTTCTGGCATATTCCTACCCTGCAAACATGACCAACATGTGCTGATACAGGCCTTGCAATATTTGCTCTGCCTAAAACCCCCTTGGGGCTGCAAATGAATTCCACTGATTTTTTTTTTTATCAAGATGACGGGTGTCTTTGTGGGTTTGTATCGGCACCGCTGCCAGGAATCAGAGCTGTGCCAGCGGCAAACGGTAGTGCTGGGCATCACCGCATGGCAACCAAGGTTTCCCACGGGTGTTGGCTAATCGAGTCACCTGTGGTTCCTGTTGGCCCCCGACCAGCTGGTTGGGGAACCAAGATTCCTGCCCTATTTATTTTTCCAAGCACTGTTTTAGTTTGCTGTCAATAAGGCACTGTCTAGCTGAACCTACCTCCCCCCTCAATCCCAGCCCCCAGCCTCGTCACCCCTCCACTAAAGGGCATTCTGCACACTTTGACCATCCAGGCATTAGCTGAATTATTGAAATATTGAATTTTATCTTATTTTCCACTACAGTGTTTTCCTTCGAAGGTCCTCTCTGATGGTTCATGTACGGTGCATGTTTCTGGGTTGTGTATTTTGTATAGTATATTCTTATTTTTATATATTTTATTTTATTATGCACAGTTCCTGGCACCCCAACACCATGGGCACATTTTTTTTAACATTCATTTTTCTTTTTTGTCCTAAGAATATCTATCAGATATGAACACTATTATACTAAAGAGATAAAAAAAAAAAAAAACAGAAACTGTAAACATGTGCATTTTGCACTGTTGTGACAAGAAAGTACCATGCATTTTAACCTTTGTACTGCAAATGTGTACTTGCATACCAGTTATGTTCATCCCTGAACATAAGGAATATATACGTGAGTATTCGTTGAGATATCATTATTGATGAATAAACCCGTAACATATTGCACTGTTGATACAAATAAACATATGGTGTGTGTATGATATATGAAAATATAGTACTTTTTCGAGAAACTCAAAGTGCAGTAACAGTAGTGTGCCAGTCAGGGTTAGTCGGTCCAGCAGCATCTGGTGTTAAAGGGCTGGAGGGACAAGGTTAAGGTCCATCAGCAGGTCTATAGCGATGGCAGGTGGAACTCAACCTGGAAATAGCTCTCGGGCAGAAGATGTTTCTGAGTCTGGCTG